ATCCAGTGGAGGTACTCAGCTGGGGTTGGGCAGCACCCAGGCGGGAAAAGGCAGGGATAGAAAAAGAGGTCTGCAGAGGTCCGGGGGGCTTCCTTCCCTTTCTGTCCTTAGGTCCAGGAGGGGGAGCCCCGCACCCGGTAACTATTGCGTCACAGGGCAGAGGGTCCCTAGCCAGTCAGGTCGAATCAGTTCCCTTTGTCTTGCTCAGTGAGGTCACAGGGATTCTCAGATTCTGGCCTATTTAGAGAATTTGAGGCGTGAGGTCACTCTAAAGGGGGGGCCTGGGAAAGTCACGAAGGATAATGTTCAATGAAACCAAATACTTTGGGAGAGGCAGGTTTTGAGTCCTAGTCCCAAGTCTTGCAGATGCCCAAAAAATAAATCTATTCCCCAAGTTGAGGGCTGGAAGGTCATTTGGTCATTCGGTGAGCTCAGCTTGTGTTTAACACCTGTCACATCGCTTTTCGAATTGTTGGGTCCCATTAAGAAAACCAGCCGGGTGCGGTGTAATTAGGCCTGTAATCTTAGCCCTTGGGAGGTCCAGAGGCGGATCCTCTGAGCTCAAGAGTTTGAGACCAACTTGAACAAGAACAAGACCTTGTCTCTAAAACTAGCTGGACGTTGTAGGCTGAGGCAAGAGGATGGCTGGAGTCCAAGAGTTTGAGGTTGCTGTGAGCTCTGACACCACAGTGCTCTACCCAGGGCGACAAAGTGAAACTCAAAAAAAAAAAAAAAGGAGGGGATGGAAAGAGTGGAGTCTCCTTGGTGGCGAGGGCGCTGGAGTGAGATGCAGGGATTTGGGGAGGTGCAAGGGGCCTCCTGGCTTGAAGCTCCTATACCTGTTCAGTTCTCCGCAAAACTGGAGGAACCACGCGGCTCCGGAAATAGCGGTGGGCGTGGTAGTCCTGCTGCGCGTTGTAGGGCGGGATCGCGGACCACACCTTAGGCCTGGTGCGCGCATGGGCGCGGGCCACTGTGCTCACCGCCACCCCGTCCAAGATAAAGCCCTTCTCCAGTCTCAGAGGACACTCGCACACGAACGCCATCTCAACCACTGCAGCCCAACCACCTGAGCCGCAGCCGGAGGCCCTTTCTGGTGGGAGACGAGTGTCCTAACTGGGGGCTCCCCCGCGCATTGTTACGTCAAGGACCCCTGCGACACAACCCCGACTCCTCACTCAACTAGGGTTGTCAGGATGGGTCCTTATGACGGCAGAGGAAGTACCTTGCATGGCCCCGAGGTGAGGGTGACCTGGAAAGAGGATATGAAGATTGAAGGGGAGGAGAGGATTACTGAACGTGAGCAGTTTGAATGCAGTCAGGCCCAGCTTCCCAGTTTTTCTTTACGAACAAGATAGGAGGCTCTGCTCCCATAGCTCAGTGGGTAGGGCGCTGGGCAGGGAATGGTGGGTTCAAACCCGGCCGGGGCCTGCTAAACAACAATGACAACTGCAACAAAAAAATTGGCAGGCGTTGTGGCGGGAGCCTATAGTCCCAGCACTTGGGAGGCTGAGGCAGGAGGATCACTTGAACCCGAGTTTGAGGTTGCTGTGTGCTAAGACGCTACAGCACCATACCAGGAGTGTTAGAATGAGGTAAACAAATAAAATGTACTTAAATGGACCTTAAAGATTCCTCTAGGCTCGCCGCCTGTGGCTTAAGCAGCTAAGGCGCCAGCCACATAACACCTGAGCTGGCTGGTTCGAATCCACCCCAGGCCCGCCAAAGAATGAAGGCTGCAACCAAAAAATAGCCGGGCGTTGTGGCAGGCGCCTGTAATCCCAGCTACTTGGGAGGCGGAGGCAGGAGAATCACTTAAGCCCAGGAGTTGGAGGTTGCTGTGAGCTGTGATGCCAAGGTCCTCTACCCAGGGTGACAGCTTGAGGGTCTGTCTCAAAATAAATAAATAAATAAGTAAAAATAAAGATTCCTCCAGTAAACCATTCCTCAGGCTTTGCTCAAAGAAACCTAATCAGATGGTTAAGTAATATTGGCAGTTTCAGACCTGCAGACATAAATGTATGAACACTTTGTAATCTAAACTATTGACCTGCACATTGACTTTATTGTAAATGATGGTGAATGGTGGTCAATCAAAAGTTTTATAATCCCCCCACCAAAAAAGAACAAGATAGGTGCTCTCTTTCCCATGCAGTTCATTTTATTTCCTAAGCTCAGTTGCATTGAAAAGTTTGCACCCAGAATTAATTAGAACGAGGTCAGGTAGCATCTACTTCCCACTCTTATTTTGTAGAGCTAAAGTTCCCCCCAAAGGTTCCCCAAATCCAGTTAGCTGCAGAGCCAGAACCAGAACTTGGGACTCATGCCCTCACTTGTTCCACTTAGAGAGCCCTTCACTGCCCACCCCAATTCTTTTCAGTAGCTAGTATTCATCCTCCTTTCATAATAAAACAAAAAGTACACTTGGTCTATACACTTTACCATACCTTTTGTCTGGCTATTTTTTAGGGGGTGGGTAGGAGGAGGGCAGTCTTACATTTTACAACTCCTGGGTTCAAGGGATCCTCTGGCCTCAGCCGCCCCATAGCTGGGACTTCAGGCACCTGCCACAGTGCCTGACCTAATCCTTAGTAGTAGACTAGTGAACAACTATCTTAGTTATTATGACTACAGATGATTATTTCCTTCTTTATTCTTTTTTCCCAATTTTTTCTCTCCATGAATATATATATATATATTTTTAGACGGAGCCTCAAGCTATCCCCCTGGGTAGAGTGCTATGGCATCACAGCTCACAGCAACCTCCAACTCCTGGGCTCAAGCGAGTCTCCTGCCTCAGCCTCCCAAGTAGCTGG